AATAGTTGTTGCCACTACCGTTTTCTCGTGAGTTCTCGTGGAAGGTCGTATTCACCTGTCCTTGAAGACGTTTCAGTTGCTGGCGGTCTTCACTGGCGCGCCATGCCTCCTCTTTGACAAAGAAGAACGAATCTTGCTGTGCGTTGTGCACCACAAATGTGAATGGCAGCAGCTTGGAGCGGTTGAAGACCGATGTGTAGACGTCGCGGTAGATGGCGTTCGCTGCGGGAACACTGGAAACGATGGCTTGGCCATCATTAGTGCGAGACACAACGATGCCCTTACCGAACGGTGGCTCGGTGTCTGAGCCAATGTTACGCGGGGTCGGGTTCATGACATCAAACTTAAGCGCGGACTTTGGCGGTGCAGACAAGTCCTCGAAATTGGACATTCGCCGCACATTAAGGTGCGCCAAGAAACCACTCTCCACAGCCATGGTCGGTATGTTATCTATGGGTCGTTTCATGTTGAGCGCAATTGGATTATGCGGCGCACGACCCCACAGCGAGGGTTGTTCCCATAGGTTTCGCGTTAGTTGTGGAACCAAGTTCTTTATACTGAAGCCAAGTGTCTTCATCCACGAAGAGAAGTCGGCGGGATAGTTGCGGTCGTGGTCGACATTTATGGGATCATTGCCATTCAAGCGATAAAGATGCATCTTCGTGGGTGTTATGATGCGCTCGGCCACTAGTTCCCAGTTGGGCGACATCCATTGGCCGATTAGTGGGTCATATACTCTACCATCGCCCATGTGCACGAGAGCTGTGACAGGATCCAAAATGCCACCACAGAAGTCAATAGGCAGAAATAGGTATGGATTGGAGTCGTAAACGATGTGACCGAATGGTGAGCGCATAATTTCCCTTATGTCCTCGCCGTATTGGTTGAAAATCATGATCGGAGTCCCGCTCTGGTCTGTGGCCACGTAATATTTGTGCCTGTACACTTGTGCATAGATAAGATGACCCACATCGTCGTAAGTTAGTGACATTAGTTTTCCGTCGCGTGGTGAATATATCTGAGAAACTTCATAGGGCCGATCTTGACTAGTGTAGAAGAACTGGGTTACGTTTCCAAAGTTGTCCTTTCGGGTGGTTAGACGTTTCATGTGGTCGTAATAGTAGCGTACATCGAACCGTCCACGCTTGGTGGCGCGAACTAGTAAGCCCTGTGTGTTGTAGTGAAAGCGCTCTTCTCGCGCATTCTGGGCAACCAGTCCACGAGTGTCGTACTTGTACTGACCCTCCCCAAATTTAACGATGCGGTCCTGTGCATTGTATTCCATGGGGATGGTGTTACCTCGGTACGTCAGCGACAGTAGGTTGCCGTTGTCATCGTAGCGGAAGCCCCACGGCTCCTGAGCTTCCACCCCAACTAGCTGGCCGTCACAATCCCAAGTATAGTTTTTAACATTGGTGTATGTATTGACGGCCATGTTGCGTGTGTAGGTACGTGTTTGGGTGATGCGTCCATGCATTCCGAATGAAAACTCCATGCGGAACACTTCGAGCCGATGTATGGAGAGAGTCACTTTCTGCGTTAGAAAGCGGCCATCCACAGTCCGCGTAAAAGTCGCTGTGCCATCGTAGACTTGTGTCTGATTCAGCATTGGATGCATAATCTTGAATTGGCCAATGAGACTTGGCTGACCTGTACGTTGGTTGTATGCAAAATTTTGCGAGGGTAGATTTTGGCCACCTATGCGTCCCTGGATCGAAATGACACGAAAATCAGTATCATACTCATAGGTGAATTTGGCATTGCTTAGTCCTGTCTTGGCCACATAGTCGATGCGCTCTTCGCTCAGCAAACCTCCGGTGTATTCAAAGTCCCAACGATACTCCAGTTCCCGCTCGGTGTGTGAGACTGTACTGGGCATGCCCGTAGCATCGTTGTAAAGAAACTCGCTCTTTCCATCGCCGTGCACGATCTCAGCCAGTTGACCGCCCGAGTTGTAGCGGTAAACAATGCGTGCGCCGTCACCAGGGAATATTGTCTGAAGCAGGGCACCAGAATGACTGTAATGCTGCAAGTAAGCTCGCGTACTGCCAGGCGGCGTGTAAGTGCAGCGGATGAAGCCAATGGATGTCTGCATGCTAAAGGAGTGCTTTGTACCAGATGGCATCAGAACGTGCCTGAGACCGCCCGACTCGTCGTACTGCAGTACAAACTTCCGCTGGCTTGCCAAGCCGATCTCCGACATCAAATTCCAATCATTGTAGACAAAGGAAATGATACCATCTTGCTGTGAGGTGATCTCTGAGAGCAGACCATGTCTATCATATGAATACTTGAGCTCAGCCGGACCCCAGGCCCAGCCTTCAATGCGATTGAAGCGGTCGTAGGTGATGTTCACAGGATAACCATTGGTCGGATAATATGACTTTGGCAGTCCAGACTGATCGTATGCAACAATGAGTATCGGAGTTCGGTTCATGTCATAGAATGTCTCACGGTTAGTAAACTGGTCGTACTCAACGCCAATGACGCGCGATTGATTTACCCAAATCTCGCGATTGAGTGTCTGCTGAGGATTGCGCACATCACCGACTAAATTGTACACGGAATACATATTGTTTGTCAAACTTTCGCCCATAGTGACGCTCTGATGTGACCACATGGCCAGCATTTCAGCTTCAACCGGCAACGCTGCCTCGAGCAACGGATGTCTGGCAACGGCCGATGACTCAACAACGACGCCGTTGGCACTGTGAATCACGAGCGTGTTATTCGGTTTGATTTCTGCGTCAGCATTCTCCCCACCCTTTTTCATGAAAGTAGAGCGCACACCACCCAAAACCAGCAACTCATTCGTTTCACCGCGCTCGCGTGAGAAAAGTGACTCAACGGAAGCGTGCACGTACACAGTAAGCCCTTTGTTATCGGCTAGCTCGGAAGTGATGCGCACGATTTCGCCGCTTGGCAGGATGGTACCAGTAACACGTCCAAACTCGTCATACTGATAGATGTAAGTCTCGCCGCCTGATGAGCGCGACATGAGCAGCCCAGTGTTACTGTCATAGTCCAGTTCGATCTCTTGGCGACCCTTCTCGCTCAGTTTAGTCATAATGCCAATGCCATTTATCTGTATTTCAGACTTGTGATCTTGTGTGTTTTCGATGGAGCTGACCACGTTACTGTAGTCGCGAAGAAATTGAATCTTATTGCCTGAGGCATCGGTGACGGTGGAGAGACGTCCAAAGGAGGTATTCTTTGAATAAAGGAAACTGTAACGTGTCTTGCCCGAAGTCAGATCCTTTGTGGCAACATGTTGGCCATAACGATTGAAGACATAAATTTCACTGGATGGAGGATACGGAATATGGAACTCGCCGTTCTCGTCGTGTGATGGCAGATAATGCTCGAGCGCAAGAACATGAAGCGAACCTGGAAATAAATGATATCAGCGATTAGTTGTGCTTATATGTACGTACAAGGCTCATTCAAGGAAATTATTTTTACGAAAGGAAGTGGAGCCAGGGAAGAAAGAAATAATTCTTTTGCATTTTATTAAGATTTTCTAACTTATACCATGTCCCCACCGAAGCTAACCACGTAGTTATGGCTATTGAGTTGGTTATCCCGATAACCCAATTGATTTAGCGTAGTTTCGCCATATAAAAATGACAGCACTTAACCATTTCACTGAGATGGTTAAAAGCTAACCAACTCGAAACCACGTCGAAAGTCTGATACAACCCTGTGTTTGCCCGCCATCTGTGGGTCATTAGCGTTAAAATGTGAAGAATTCGTTCCCTACTAGTGTTTGGACTCCACTAAAATCAATTAGATTTACTCCGATTTTTGAAAAAATTTTAAATCTACTCCTCTACTCCGCTTGACTTCAAATCTATTCCATTTTTTCATTCATGCTATGCCCCTCTTGGTGCCGTTTTTTGAGTGTTCACCACCGGTTTCAGTTAAAAACTTGAAAGTTAGCCAAATCTCACTGTTAAAAAGTAACTCTTTCATAGCAATGCGTCAATAAAGTAACATCGTTATTCTTTGATGTATGGCTGCACAAATTAGCGGATGCAGAACTTTACTTAAGTTGTTAAAAAATATATGAGGAATGAAATTTATATAAAGTAGAAAAGGTTTGCTTTTTAAAAAATTAAGTGTTAGATGCGTTCTACTATATTTAAAATGCTAAAAATTACCTAAATATGTAATATATTATCCTTATATTGCCTCGCGTTCTTATTTTGCATGAGTAGAAAATATTTTAGTCAAACAGTTAATGTCAGAAACAAAAATAAAAAACTCAATCTAGTACGGAAAATTGGTTTTTGCTCCGATTTTTGCAGTAATTTAGTCCTGAATCGATTTTAGGGCCGAACACTGTTCTTTACATTTGTACTGTTTTATAAACCTCAAACCGCAGTGTGGACAGCAATAGTTAGTGATATGGTTAAGTTCGATTTGAGATGGTTAACTTTTTGGTAGGGACATGGTATTAGTGTAGCAGATCTGCCACGTCTAATTAATGAATAACACAGAGAGTGAAATAATGAAAATGCAGCTTTTCCTTTGAAACTAAGTCATTTATAGACATAAGAAACTTCGTCTGTCTTTTGCCTGATATCTTGTGTGGTGGATTCCCTTGAAATATGTTCCTCGTATGGAGTTTAATCCGGCGATTCCCCAAATATTTTTACTTAAATGGATGGCAATTCTACTTCAAATCACCAAAAGCCGGGTCGAACACTTTCCGTTTGATACAAATACTGTTATATTATATTACAAATGAGCCGTTTAGTTTGAAAATGGTATAAGTCATCTTAAAAAAAAAACTCGAGTTAATCATATCATTAATTACAACTAAACATAAAAAAAAAACGGATTGAAATGTTGAGCATCGGTGAACTTTTGTTCGAGAGAAGTTTTACTAAACAGCGGTACAACAAAGAAGTTTATTTTGAGAGTAACATCCCTCAAAGTCCCTCAAAAAATCATGTTAATGGCAACATTGATTACAACGGCCAAAAGTCAGCTTTCCACAAAATTTAAATAAACTCACAAAACGTTTTTAGATTTTTCTTTGGCGTCAGAATTTGTTTAAATGACTTCGAAATTTTAAAGGTGTGATTATATTCTTGAGTACATATGAGTAGTCCACACGCTAAGTGCGCTATGTAAAATTTTTTCGATTGTGAGTTTCTGGCGGGTAGCGCCACAGTGCAACATCTTTCTATATTCTGAAAAAGCAGCATCAAATGTTAACTACTCTTGCAAAAGTTGCTATCATTCTTTCTTATACACTTTCAAAAGTCTCCATCTTTTTATGAATTTAGAAAACTACTACTGAAAAACTAATTTTCTCTGCCATTCATACTTATATTATATTGTGATCTCAGAGGGCGAATGCGTTGTTTTAATAAAAAAAATTCTATAATACATGTTGCTAGAAAACGAGGTAATTTCGATGCCTAGTGGAAGAGGTAATAAAAAAGAAGACAAATATCCATGGAGGAGAGAACGCGAAAAGCTAAAACAGTAATATAATGTACATTTTTAACTACATATAAAAAAGTTACTGTTTCAAAACTTTAAATATAAAATTTTCTAAAACTACCATACTGCAATTTTATTTTTCTTTAAAGATTATAGGCTCTTATTTATCCAAATTTTTTAGGTAATAAAAAAATATACAATTGAGATGTTACTTGTTGTCGTAGTCGTTTGTTAATTTTTTTTTTGAAATTTATTTATGGCTTACACGCGTGTTTTTAAATTTTTTTTGTCTTTGTTGAACGGTTTTGCAATTTAATTACAGGGATTAGGGGTATAAATTATTATTATTATTATATATGAAACTTATTCATCAATTTAAGTAAGTCACTGTCCCTTCGAAACCTCGCTTCAGTTTAATACATCGGCCAAAATTGAAATAAGTCAGTAATTTTTCAAAACTATTTATTTTGCTTAACTCATTTTACCGTAATGAAAAGTGGTGATTTTTCCATGACACTTCACGAAAACGAGATAGGGCGTTTTGAACCAAATTGTGAAATAGGGCTGCCGATATATGTAGGTCGAACCCACTCCAGTCAGTCGTCGATATAATCTCATAAAAAAAATTGTTCTTTGAAAGTTTTTCGTCTTACGAGTAAAAGTACGTTTCCACGAGCTTCAAATTGGGCAATTTCGATTCTCAATTTCAACTCGAAAATCAATTTCGAAGTCATTGTGAAAGGCTACAAAATAAGCAAAATAAAATAAGTCTCTAAATAGTCTTGCCAATTTTTACCATTTTAACGATTTCGTAGTTGAATTAATGGAACAAGTTAATGCTGTGTATGGATACCAAAGGAAAATATATTGCAAACAGAGGAAATCGCGAAGTTCAAGCATTTTTATGTTGCGAAAGCTGTAAATATTAATTTCAATGACAACTTCCAGACAACTGAAGTATCCTAATAAAATGACTTCAAGCATACATATAAAAAATCCTCATTTAAATTACAAACCCGTGTATCGTACATCTGCCAAAACCTCGTAACTGACATTTGTGCCAAATTGACATCAACCCTTATCCATTCATACCAGAATAGCAATATTTAGATATAAAATGTAGATATAGTTAGGGATAAAAGAGAGAAACGTTTTGAATCAAAACAGGTTTTACTATCTTCTATCCTATTTACTAGCTATTTTGGCAACCTCAGTTATGTGTTTTTTCATAACATTTTATTTTTCATATTGTCTCTTTATCCATTAATAAATAATTTTTTAGACGTATAAATCACTCAAAAGTTATGAAACTTCAAAGTTGCAACGAAAAAATTTCGAATTTTTTCGCAATTTCACCAAAAGTGAGACTCGTACACAATTTCAACTGACGTTTTATTCTATGGCCAAGTTGAGAACCATATCACAATTTCAAGCGGAAATTGAGAATGATGCCCAAATTACGAAATTTGGAAACGTACCTTTAAATGTAGGAATGCAATATACATACATACCTATGTACGAATATACTATATGTACTTTGAATAATTTTTGATTTTCAGTTAGCGGGCAACCCCATTTGTCGAAAAAATTTTCTTTTTATTTTTCCTTTAGCACTATTTAGCTCTTTTACTAAGGAGAAGTGATTAAAAAGTCACGGAAATCCAGGAATAATCGCTGGGAACTGTATTCCAGTCTGCCGCTCTCCTTCAGAAAAGGAACCCGTGTAGGATTTGATATGAAGCCGCGGATCTCCAACTTAATACTGAATTATGCCCTGCTGTAGTAAATCAAAGTCAAAGTAATCGAAATTCCTGCATGCTGAAGTTATACCTCTTCTACTCCTGCGTGTTTACTTTGAGGACTCACTGTGAGCCAATGTTCGTTGGCATATTTAGGTATTAGCCAAATAATGAAGCAATTTATGAAATTGTGTTTTGCGTCCAGTTTACATTTGCATCTTCCCATACCCCGTTCGAGCCACTTTTTCCATTCATATTGGCGAACAAAGCGGCGGTTGTTGGGACTGCTGTTGCTACTGCAATGCCATTCAGAGCCACTTTACTACACTGCTGACAGCACAACTGATGCAACACAGCAGCAACATGAGCCGGGACGGGCGGTGGTAGCAAGGCAGTGGCGGCATCACAGCTGCTGATGATGTCAATTTTCATACGGAGACGGAGTAACATGTAAGCCATCGGACAGAGAAGCTCGTACACATGCCATGTGAAAGCGGAAAATAAAAAAAATTAGGCGACCGCAAGCTGCAACATTGCAGTGCCAGCAGCAGGAGGATGTCGCCCTGTCAGGCCACCTATGAGTACGACGGCTGCACAAGTATGCATGTGTGCGTGTGAGTATGTGAATGTGAAAGCAATAGAGAAGTCTGAATGGAATGTGGTTGACTGCAATGCGAAAAGTTGTAGCCAACAGCTTGGCGCCAACAACACGTTGCAAGTGGTGATATGGTACAGTTTTTTGCATGTCGGATTTTGAGGTGATGAAATTGGCCACAATACAAAAACGTGTACCACTGTGCCGGTGGCAGCTCAACATTTGGTGGCGGTGGGTGGGTTGGGTGGATTGCCACACGCATGAGCGCACCAGTAGTATGGCAACCCATTCATGCTGCTGTGCAATGCAACGACTATTACTGAGCGTTACTTGGCATCCGAGCACACGCCAACACACCAACACCAACACCCACACGCACTCACGCATACAAGCATGCGCGCACTAAGCAAGTGTTTCTAAGTAGTTGTGCAACGTGCGTGCGTGCGTGCGAACTGTGCAATAAATTTTATGAGTGAATTATTAGATTTTTAAATGAAAGTTTACTGTGCAGCGTTGAGCATTTAATTATATTTATCGGGCAAACTTTGCTCGAGAAGAAGTTCAAGCAGCCATTGCGTTTACGGTATTTTGCGAAATAA